GGTGATGCCCCCCCGCCACATGCGACACACACAGCACCCTAGGGAGCTGGGACTGAGAATGCCCTCCCCTGCTTCCACCTTCCACCCCCCCCCCCAGCAGGCTCAGGCCCTCTCTCTGGATGCCAAACCACTCCCCACACCTGCTCTTCTCATCCCCCTCCCTGGTTCAGGACCATGCCTGGTAAAAACCCTCCCCCAGGGTTCTCTCCACAGACAGTTTTCCTGAAGCCCAAATCCAATAGCCCATTCTCAGGAGGAAGCCTGAGCTGTCAGGTGGCACTGCAGGCCCCGCCCCATCTGCCCACCAGACCCTCGGAGTTCCCGAAGAATGTGGGTGGTTCCATTCCTCTGCTGTTCTCGAGATCTGGAATTCAGCTGATGCACCCCTGGCCCAAATTCTCTCCTACCGGCTCTCCCTGTGAATGTCTCTCATCTCTTGAGACTCTACTCAAGGGCTGCCTCCTCCATGAAGCCTCCCTGAGCCCCCAGCAGGCAGAGGGGACCTCGGCCTATCCCTGTCTGCGTTGTCACCTGGACCGGAATCTCCTTGGGGCAGGGTCCACTGTCACACTGGAGAAGTGGCCGGAGGGGGAGGGCAGAGCAGGGGAAGAGGGTCTCCAGAAGCCCCGGGAGAGCCAGCCACACTCACGCCCACTTCCACGTGGTCGGAGCCTCGGTCGTCCTGCTTGTGCAGCAGCTCAAAGTAGTACCTCCGGGAGGCCATGAGCCTGGGGACACGAGGAGTCGGGGACATGCCGCCACCAGGCCCCAACAGATGGAGAGCCCAGAGGAGGTGGGGGCTCAGGGGGACAGTGGTTTGGCTGGGACGGCACAGGTGCAGTGGTTCCTGCGTGCAGCGTGTGCTAGCGTGCAACCCTCACACACACACTCGTGCACACACACACTCGTGCACACACACTCCCACGGTCACTCACCGCCTGGGCTTGGACACCTGGGAGCTGAACTTGGTGAATTCTCCAGGTGCTGTCCACTCTGAGCCAGTCTGGGGGGCGACACAGACAGGGGTGGCTCACCCTCTCCATGGGGGCACCAGCCCCACCCAGTCCCCAATCCTAAGAAGCTGGAAAGAATGGGTGACTGAGGCCACAGGAGGCTCAGTGAAGACAGACGGGGTGTGGATGGTGGGGCTGGAGTGGGAGGGCAGAGCGGGGTCACGGCCATGGGGTAGGGGTACCTTGCCCACAAAGGCCACTAGCTGGGCGCCTGCCGGGCTCTCGTTTGGGCTCAGCCAGAACTCAGAGTTGTCATCCGAAGCCACAGAGAACTGGATGTCTCCTAGGCGCAGGACAGGGACTCAGGGGGCGTGGGGCCCCTCACGACTCCCCTCCCCTGCACATCCCCACCCCCGCACCATCTCTTGCCGGGTGGATGAAGCCGAAAATCCGGAGTCCGTAGTTCTTCCACTTGGGGGACACGGCCAACTTCTTCACGGTGGTACGAGTCTGGGGAGCAGTGACCTCTGACGTCAACCCCACCGCACTCCCCTGCCCCTGAGGGCCAGCTCTGCCCCGCCCAGGCACTCACGTGAGGGAAGAGCGGGAAGTGCAGGTTCCTCCGCAGGTGGCCCACGGCGCCCCCACACCAGTCCTCAAACACGTGCAGGTTCACCTGCCCCTGGTACTGGGGCGGGAGGGGGCCTTACCTTCCGCACTGCCCGCCAGCCCGCCCCCATTGTCCACCCCAGGGCTCACCTCCTCCCGCCACGGTGGCGCCTGGTGCGTGAGGTTCAGGGGGAGCGGCCTTCCAGCGCCCCCAGGAAACAGCATGTTGGGGTCCCAACCTTCGGGCTATAGGACAGGGGGGACACCAGAATCAAAGCTGAGCCACGTGGGCAGGTAGGGGTCACACAACCACACACATGTGCGCACACACACACACACCCAACCTCAGACACCAGCCGTGACGTGCCAGCCACACCAGCCACACTGCCACCGTGACACAGCTTCACCAAGACCCCATTTGCACAGCTAGACACGAAACCCCGAATCCATCACACCTCAGTCACACAAACCAGACGACTCTCGTCACATCCGCCCACACAGACACTTGACCCCCCACGCCAACACGCTGGCATACACGAGCACCCCTTCCGCCTGGACTCAGGGCTCCAGGCTGGGACTTCTGTGTGTGTCAGGCCGTGCTCGGCGCTGGAGCGCAGGAACGAGCTGGGCCCGCGTCCTCCATCCGCACAGCCCACGGGCCCCCCGAGGCCACTGGCACCCGAAGTCACGGGGTCTTACACGTGTGTGTAAGCACACACGAGCTCTTTCCCACGGCCCGGCTCACCGCCTGCTCTTCCTCACGACTCTCGCTGGAGTCCTCAGCCCTCTGCGTGGACAGCGCGGCCTGGACGCCCCGGTCGTCTGTCACGCCGCTCAGCTTCTCACCATCTGTGGGTGGCACGTGGGGCTGGCTGGGGCCCGGGCTCTCCCCAAGGCCACAGCCCCTGCTGCTGGGGTCAGGTGGGCAAGGACCCTCATCTCATGGTTGCAGCAGGCAGGGAAGCCAGTGTGTCTCCCTCTGAAGCCTCTCCTCCCCTTCTGCTCCCTCACGCCCCGGATGCCGCACCCTACAGCCGGGCAAGGACTCTGCACTGGGCACTTCTCCCACCTCCACCTCTGGGGGGCAGCCCCGCCCGAGCCCTCCGCCTGGCTTTTCCCAGCCCCGGCTGGTATGAGGGAGCAGATTTATGCGTGTGCACATGCTAGTGTATATGCGTGCACATGCGCAGCCATCCGCCCGTCCTCGCCAGTGGTCCACCTCCAGGAAGGCCCCCAGGACTGCGCTGTGCCCTCAGCACTTTTCCCGTGTGCTGCAGTGTTTTGTGTGTCTTGCTCACCAGAACTGAGAGCTAAGGGTTAGTGCCGGAGCTTGTGGGCAGGAAAGTCAACACTGTTGTCTTGAGGCTGAGCCAGCCCCAGCCCATGGCACAGGTGCCACCCATTGCCCTCAACGCTGGGGCCCAGGACCAACAGAGCCCCGGCACCAGCCTGGGCAGAGGAAGGACAGGCACACTGGTCTGGCAGCCGGAGGACCTGGGGCCATGGCGACCTGGGATGGAGACTGTCCCCTGGGGGCACCCTTCCCAGGTCTGCCTGTGGACATCGCCAGAGCTTGAGGCCCCAAACCCCCCCAGCCTGGGGCAGACCACCTCCACACCCTCCACTCCCCAGACCTCTTCCCTGAGCGGTGGACCTGAATACCCCACCCCATCCCCTGGGGACCCCACACCCTGGGATCTGAGCCTCTGAAGGGGAGGCTCCACTGTACCCCACCTCTGTCCCTCCTGGTGCTCCCACACAGGGATGCCCAACCCAGGAGCCCCCTCTGCTCCAGGACCAAGCCTGGGCTTCTATATCCATGCCCATCCCCCAATGCAGACCCCAGGAGCTACATTCCTGTACGGACACAATTGCCCGAGCCTCTTCTCTGGGGGATGAGGCTGCCCATGGTCTCCTGCCTCTGAGACCCCTGCAGGGACTGCCCACTTGCTCCTCATTCCAGGTTCTTCCCCCAGTCACTGTCCTGTGTCCAGCTAGGAGGTGAGTCCCTAAAAGGCTCCTGGCCAAATCCCCACAGCCTGGCCCTGATGCTCATTGCCCTCCAAGCTAAGTCCGTGGGTGTGGGGAGCCTTCTGCAGGGGGTCCAGCTCAGGCTGCTGCCACCGTCCTGCAGGGGCCGAGCCCCGCACAGTGAGGTCCAGACAGGCCTCCTGCCTCCCGGCTCATCCTCCCTCAGGGATGTCTGCCTGCATGGGCTGCTGGACAGCAGGAAGGTAGCCCTCCTGCTCTATTCCAACGCCATCTCCCTGGTGGGAGAGAAGATAGTCAGGAGGGCCTCAGGAGTGTCCAGCTGCGCAGCTTCTCACGAGCCCTGCCCTGGTGGGCGCCCAGGTGGCCAGACAGGCCGTGGGGCTGCGGCGGCTCCTGGAAGGTGCCACACGAGGTTTGATCTTCCAGGACCCTGAACAGCTCCTGCCCACCCAGGAGCAGCCAGGGCAGGCTGCCCAGTCCCCAGCTTCCCCGCTGGTCCAGCTGAGCACTGAGGGGCCCCAGAAGTGGGGTTCCATGCCTCCACTCCCTCCCAGTTGCTGAGCTAGACTCCCTGGCTGCTCAGAAAGTCAAGTTAGGGAGGACGGTGGTTTCTCGAAAAACCACGGAGGCGGCTGAGGAGGGGCTGGTTTTGTTCTCTGTCACCAGGTCACACTCAGGACTTCTGCCTTGTTTGCTGATAGCCGGGGGAGGGGGGCTCTTTTAGGGAACGAGCAGTGCTGGGGGCCTCTGGAGGGTGTGCTGGCTGTGAGGTGCATGGACCCTGGTGGGGTTGGGACAGCCCCAGACCCTTGGCCTGGGGGTCTGTGGAGCCAAGTGTCCAGGTACAGGGAGGGGAGGCAGGAGTGGGACTGAAAGGGGAGGTTCGGACCCCCGGGTGGAGCAGCCCAGGGTGCTGTGAGTCATAGTTCTGAATCTCTGGGAAGCAAGACTCCCACGTCCCTCATCCTAGGGACACCTGCTTCCTGGAGAAGGGTCAGAGGAAGCCTGGCTGGGCTCTTCCCTGCCCTGGGTGGGGCTTCTGCTCTTGCCTTAGCTGGCGGGTGGGGGCTACTCCTGTCCTGAGGTGACCCCTCTCCCACCCCGACTCGGGTTCCAGACACTCTGCTCCTCCTCCTCTTCTCACCCCAGGTCTTCATCAGTGCCTTCCTCCTGCAGGATGCTCTTTCCGCAAACGCTGTGTCAAAAAGGTCACCACCTCTAAGAGTCCCTCCAGGATCCCTTAACTAAAGCGGAAGACTCTTCCCCTGGTTCTTTCCCCCAGCGCTCACCAGAACCTGGTTTGCTTTGTGGGTTCATTGTCTGTCCCCATGGAGTGTGAGCTCCAGGAGCCTGGCGGAGTTCACTCCCTGCAGTTCAGGGCCCCCCAGGCTGGATCCCTCTCCCCGCGAACAGCATCCCCGTGCCTGATCACAGGCTTACCCAGGGCACCCCTCCAGGAAGCGCTCCAACTGCACGGGTCAGCTCCCCCCACCCCGCTTCCCGGTCGGGAGACTGGATCTCTGCCCCAGCCCCCTCCCCAGCGGATGGGGAAACTGAGGCTCCGCTAAGCAGGCAAGTGGTGGAGCGGCGACCAGACTCGGCCTCCGGGAAACCCCGGCTTGCAGAGCCTGGGGGCGGAGATCTCTCCAAGAGCCCACCGTTAACCCCGTCACTGCCGGCTCCAGGCCAGATCCCAGAGTCCGTCCAGGTCCAGCACGCTCCCCAGGAGGGTCGCGCACGTCACTGCTGACGTCACCGGGCGTCCGGGCCGGGCCGAACCCGGGCCCCCGCTCCGACAGCGCGGAGCCCGGCAGCCCGGACGCACTCTCCGGGAGAGTCTGGCCCTCGCAGAGACCCGGGGCAGTGGGAGGGCCGGGACTAGCGCGCTCCGGGCCCTCGCCGCCCCGCCCCGCCCCCGGCGCGCCCTCCCGTACCTCGCCCGTAGCCCAGCCGCTGGCGCAGCGCGCGGCCCTGGCGCGCCAGGCTCAGGTGCACGTACGTGAGCCACGCGGCGCAGGTGAGCAGCACCAGCAGGAGCAGCAGCTTGATCTGCTTGCGGATCTTCTTC